TATCTTCCTCAGGAAAGTCCATTCCTTTGATTTTTAAAAAAGACTTAGTGGTTTTTTTTTTGTTTTAATGTTAGGTGTAAAAGTGTTTTGCCTGCATGTGTGTGCCCCCACCTGCATACCTGGTGCCCATGGTGCCAAGCGGAGGGCGTTGGATCTTCTGGAACTGGGGTTAAAGATGGTTATGAGCTTAAATGTGGGTTCTGGGAATATAACCTAGGTTCTCACAAAGTTAATAAACTGTAACTAATATTAAAAAAAATAATAATAACCCAGGTCCTCAGGAAGTTTAGAGCAGCCAGTGCTCTAAACTACTGACCCGTCTCTCTAGCGTGAAAAATCTACTTATTTATGTGTATGATGTTCTGTCTGTCTGTGCAGCATGTGTGTGCCTAGTGCTAGCAGAGGCCAGCAGAGGCGATGAACTGGAACTGAAGTTACAGATGTTTGTGAGGCACCGTGTGGGTGCTGGGTATGGACCCCAACTCCTTTGCAAGATCAGTGAGTGTTCTCTCAGGTTTGCACGGAGACAGGGTTTCTCTGTGTAGCTTTGGCTGTCCTGGACTCGATTTGTAGACCAGGCTGGGCTCAAACTCACAGCGATCCACCTGCCTCTGCCTACCTGAGTGCTGGGAATCAAAGGCGTGTACCACCATGCCCTGCTCAGCGGGTGTTCTTAAACACTGAACCATCTCTCCAGTCTGAAAGTTAATTTCTTATCTGTCTGTCTGTCTGTCTAGTAAGGGCATGAGCCCATTTCTGCCTTCACAGGATGAGAATAATCTTATATACGGCTAGTCAGGCATTTTGTTTTCATCTTATTTCCCAGATGGACCAAGCCCATTTTTTCTTTCTGTTGTTTTTCCTCATTAACATATGTCTGCAGTTCAGAGACTTACCATTCGCTCAGTTTTTCTTTGGCCTGTTTGGCTTTTACATGCACATACCACACTCAGAGTGGAAAACTAGTTGCCTAATTTACACTTGTTTCAATGATTCTCAACATCAAACCAGTATAATAAAAGAAGGGCAGATGTTAAGGAGGGTTAAGTGATTTATTTGGAACTGGTGTTAACCAGCAAAGGGCTGGGCAGTAGTGGCACACCTTAATCCCAGCACTCAGGAGGCAGAGGCAGGTGGATCTCTGTGAGTTTGAGGCCAGTCTGGTCTACAGAGTGAGTCCAAGACAGCCAGAGCTACATAGTGAGACCATGTCTAAAAACAAAACAAAACCAACAAACAAAAACCCAACAAAAAGGAATGGCAGGTAGGTGGTGGTCAAATTGTTAGGTCTATTGATAATCTGAGGAGCTATTAGAGATTGTAGCTTAATGTGGCAACCTTCTAGTTCTGTTACTTCAGTACCGAGCTTCACTTGAAACTACAGCAATAATAATAAGCATATATTACTAAAACATTCAAGATTATCAGAACATTGCCTTACATCCACATAGTTAGAAAACAACTCAATGTCCAGATTCTAGTGACTTTTAGGCACCATTTTGTTTTGGTTTTCAGTTCTTACTGTTGCCAAGATCCTAACAGATTTGATGATAATTATGAAAAGGTGAAAGGGTTGAGAAAATTTCAATTCAATTTCATTGGGGTTCAGGGAGTTCCGTGGTAATTATTCATTCCCCTTCTTGTAAATTTAAACTCAGTTGGGGAAAAAATTACTTATTAAGAGGTTAATAATGGATTAGTTCACTTATAAGTGGATACTAGACCTATAAGATAGGATAAACATATTAAAATCTGTACACCTAAAGAAGCTAAACAAGAAGGAGATTCCGGAGTCAGATGATCAATCCTCACTTATAAAGACAAATGGGATGGACAGGGGAAGTAGGAGAAAACAAGAAATAGGACAGGAGCCAACCATAGAGGGCCTCTGAAAGACTCTACCTAGCAGTGTATCAAAGCAGATGCTGAGACTCATAACCAATCCTTGGGCAGAGTGCAGGGAATCGTATGAAAGAAGGGGGAATTAAAAAGATCTGGAGAGGACGGGAACTCCACAAGGACCAAATATATCTGGGTACAGGAGTCTTTTCTGAGACTGATTCTCCAACCAAAGAACATGCATGAATATAACCTAGAACCTTTGCTCAGACGTAGCCCATGGCAGGGGTTTTCCTAGTAAGGGGAACAGGGACTGTCTCTGACATGAACTCAGTGGCTGGCTCTTTGACCACCCCCCCCCCCCCCAGGGAGGAGCAGCCTTGCTAGGGTCAGATGGAAGGGGAGGAGGACCTCCCCTATCAGTGGACTTAGAGAGGGGCAGGGAGGAGATGAGGGAGGGAGGGTGGGATTGGGAGAGAATGAGGGAGGGGGCTACAGCTGGGATACAAAGTAAATAACCTGTAATTAATATAAAAAATAAAAATTATATAAAAAAAATAATGGATTAGCAAGATGGCTCAGTGGATAAAAGTGTTGGCCACCAAGCTTGAGGAGCTGAGTACAGTCCCCGGGATCCGCATGGCATAAGACTAACCTCTCACCCTCAGGTTGTCCTCTGACCACCACATGTGGTAAGCATGTGCACGCACATACAAATAAATATAAAAAAATTAGGGCTGCCAGACTCAATGGCACACGCCTGTAATTCCAGTACTCTGGGAGGCAGAGGCAGGTGAATCTCTGAGTTGAAGGCCAGCCTGGTGTACAACGTGAGTCCAGGACAGCCAAAGCTACAAATAGAAACTCTGTCTTGAAAAACAAAGGAAAGGGCTGGAGAGATGGCTCAGGGGTTAAGAGCACTGTCTGCTCTTTCAGAGGTCCTGAGTTCAGTTCCCAGCACCCACATGGTGGCTCACAACCATCTATAATGTGATCTGGTGCCTCTTCTGCTGGAGAGATGGCTCAGTAGTTAAGAGAACTTGCTGTTCTTGCAGAGGACCTGGGCTCAGTTCTCATTGCACACATGGTGGCTCACAAGTGCCTATAACTTTATGTAAAACCTACTGATTGCTCATATGTACACATGTAGGTCTTGGGACTGGATAAGCTATCATGTCCCTGGAGAAAACTGATTCTCAGTAGACATTATCTGTAGTTTTTTTTAAAGATTTATTTATTTATTATTTATATAGTATACAGCATTTTGCCTGCCAGCCCCCACCTGTCTGTGCCACCGTTGTACCCGTGGGGGCATATCTTGCCATACTACTTATTATACTTCGCAGGGTTCATGGGTAGGTAAGACGGTTGATGCCTTCCTTTTCCCCTCTTAGCATCTTCTGGTACTATGAAGGCTAGTCTGCAAAGTGTTTTTTTGTTTTTTAAATAAGATGGGAATATACTTAAGCTGTGCTATTTGGAGGGCATTGTACACGCTAGGCAAATGCTCTACCAGAGAGCAGAATGTCTGCCACTGAGTTGTCCCGGCTGTTTCTGCCTAGGCATGCCATGAATTTGCAATTCTTCTGTCTGTCCTGGTCTCCATGTGGCTGGGATTGCAGACCTGCTCCCTCTGGCGCAGTTTACGTACGTTCTGAGCCTTAGCTGCCTTACTGGGAAGTATTTGGAAACACTAGGATCACCAGAGTTACCCCATTATTGTACTGAACGAGTTTTCTTTCAGTAAGACTCTTAATTCCAAGCTGGAGACATGTCTGTGATTAAGAACAAGCACTGTTCTTGCAGAGGATCCAAGTTTGATTCCGAGCATCTAGGTCAGGTAGCTCAGGCTCCAGCGGGACTAGCACCTCTGTTTTTGTGGGCATTTGCACATACATGTAGACACATACACATGATTTAAAAAGAAAACAACAAAAAAAATCTTTAGAGTTGAAGAGGTGGCTCAGCAGTTAAGAGCACTTGCGGTAGTCATTCATAGTGGTGCACACTTTAAATCCCAGCACTCAGGAAGGCAGAGGCTAGCAGATCATTGTGAGTTTGAGACCAGGGTGGTCCAGGACAGCCAAGGCAACCAGAAAAACCCTGTCTTGGGGGGAGGTGGTCAGGGAAACACATTTGCTGCTCTTACAGAGGACCGAGGTTTGATTTTTTTTTTTTTTTTTTTTTTTTTTTTGGTGTTTTGCCTGCATGTATGTCTGTGTAAGGGTGTCAGTTCCTGGAGTTACAGACAGTTGTGAGCTGTCTTGTGAGTAATGGAAATTGAACCTGGGTCCTCTGGAAGAGCAGTCAGTGCTCTTAACTGCTGAACCATCTCTCCAGCCCCTAAGGTTCAATTCTTGGCATCTGCATAGTGGCTCACGCCCATCTATAGCTCCAGTTCCAGGAATTTGACACACTCTCCTGGCTTCTGCAGCATCCCAAATGCTTGTGGTACACAGACATACATGTAAGCAAAACATTCATACATATAAGATGATTTTGTTTTTTAAAAACTTGGAATTTCTTTTATGGTGTAATTGTTATGAGACATGCTGAGCTATTCTGTGCACAGGACACATACCCACTTCAGTTCTGACCAAAGCCCTCAGCTTGTAAATATTGTTGCTACTAAGATATTTATTCCCTCTTTTACATTTCATTGGTTATTTGATCACAATTTATGTGAAAGTATAGAGAAATGAGAACATAGAATATCTAATATACTGAAAAGGTTCTTGCCAGGCACTGGTGGCACATGCCTTTAATCCCAGCACTTGGGAGGCAGAGGCATGTGGATCTCTTGAGTTCAAGGTCAGCCTGGTCTACAGAGTGAGTTCCAGTATAGCTAGGGCTACACAGAGAAACGCTGTCTCAAATAAACAAAAGAAAACAAACCTAACCCCTTCCCCGCCCCCTCCAAAAATAAATAGAAAAAGAAAGCTGAATGTGCTGGTGCATTCCTTTAATCCCAGCACTCAGGGAGGTAGAGGCAGGAGGATCACTGTGAGTCCAAGGGACAGCTAGGGCTACACAGAGAAACCCTGTCTTGGAAAATAAAAATAAAAAAGTTCTTATTAACTGAGAAAATGTTTACCAGTCAGACTTATGCTGATATTAATTTATTAAATGAATCAATGAATTTGATACAAGTATTTTCTACTAGTAGAATGTTATTCTCAAGGAGCTATTTTTTTTCTTTCTTTTTTCCCCCTCCAAACATTGAAAATTGAAGCTGAGGCTTCATACATGCCAGGTAAGTACTCTAACACTGAGCTTCAGCCCGAGACCCCCAAATTGGGTATCTTTGAAGAGTCAGTCATCATGCTTCCCTTGGCTGTTGAGGGCTCAGTACTCGGTAACTTATGTTCAGGTACATCCCCAGAATATTTCTGTAGGAGAAATAGAAGTCAGTGAAATTAAGAGAAAAGCTACTGTATCGGTAAGCATGCATGCCCACAACCCAGCAGGAGGGGCCTTAAACACTTGAGTCTGACTAGAGACATTCTGATCTCACTGGAGGATGAAAAGAAGACAGAGTGAAACAGGGAGGGAAGAGGGCAGGAAGGGGGCTACAGCCAGGATGTAAAATGAATAAACAAGAAAACAGTAGATGTGGGCAGAGAAGAGAGCAAAGGATGTGGGTGCCTGATTCAGGGGGCTCCACTGCAGCAGAACGGATAGACATAGAGGCGTTAGGTTAGAGGGGTGTGGCACAGAGGGGTGGGCCAAGAATGAAAAACAGGATGGGAACTGATCCTCACATTCAAAGTTCAGCCCTATCAATCCCAGCTCAGGGTTGGAAGCAAGTCATGTGGCCTCTCCAGACTTCTGCTTCTTTGAATATGAGCTGTAGCTAAGAGTCTTTAAAGCTCTTGCCAGGGATCTGGGAGAGGAGATAACAGTAAATAAAGGGTGTGACACTAGACAGGAAACAGGCTTGGGGATAAGTGATAAGGACCAGCCCTTCTCCTGTTAGAAGATACAGATAGATACAGGCTGTGTGTGTGTGTGTGTGTGTGTGTGTGTGTGTGTGTGTGTGTGTGTGTGTGTGT